CGTACCCAGTCCATAGGTTGCAGGTCACACTTTGGAAAGTAACAATTCATTTTTTCAGCTAATAGCTCCAAGTGCTTCACTATCAAAGCCTGCACTTTTTTTTTCTGAATCGGCAGCCACGACATTTGGAAACATTTCCATTGACAGCGTGGCTGATCCATAGCACCAACTTAGCGCGAAAGCTTTCAATTTTGTCCGAAGACGTTAAAATATTGGAGTTTCTGCCTTGCATTTTTCTGTTCAGCTCATTTAAATGTGTGAATATGAACGACAGATATGCAAGTTCGGCCACCCATTCTTCTTTTTTAAACACAGAAACATAATCGGAACCCTGGGCCTCTAAAAACGCCTGGGTCTCATTTTTAAGCTCGTAAATCCGAGATAGAACTTTTCCCCGAGAAAGCCATCGTACTTCTGTATAAAATAGAAGTCACCGATGATCTGCTCCCATTTCCTGACAGACTGCATTAAACAGACGAGAGTTCAGCGGTCGCGTCTTGATGTAATTGAAAATTTTAACAACTTCTTGTAGGACAGACAACAATTCATCAGGCAAAGACTTTGTCATCAGTGCTTACCTGTGCAAAAAACAATGTACATTTTTCCACCTCCCAAACATTTTGGAACTGGGCATGAATCGTCTCCGCAATAAATAAAGCCATAGCTGACATAGCTCTCATCATATTTGCGATAAACAATCTTAGGTTTTTTTTTCGTTGACTCTGCTTCTTCTGGCAATATATTAGTTTCACTTGACAAACTTGCGGTACGTTTAACACATTTTTCCATTATAAAATATTATTATTGGCAATTTATTTGTTATTAAAAAGTCTATTACGATTAATATGAGACCTTTTGCTCGCACGAGTTCAAAACTGAGTAAAAATCTGGAAAAATATTTAGAATTCGCTTGCATGTTTGAGCACGCAAAGAACCTGCAAGTACATGCATATGTGTGTGTACTTGTGCATAGCAGAAGTTTTCCGAGCCGAAAAAATAATATGTTAATGCCTTTTCTTTTGAGAAAAAGCTTTTGCGATTGCTTGGTTGGATAATACAATAATTATGTTCTCTGTATTAATCTTAATATTTAATTTCTTAGTAGTATGTATTTATTTATATATTAAATAACAGTGTAAATACCAAAAGTATTTTCGTGCCCCAACCTTAGTTTCGGTAATCAAAATATCAGGCAGCTCGTTTGCTGAGCACACATACATACAGTATGTCAACTAATTGTTTGCAAAATGAAATAAGTCAGACAATTTCAACTTTAGCATTAAAAATATAAATACAGGCATTATTTGGGAAAATTTTGTTTATTAATTATATTATATATATGTATTATTTATGATTTATCAAATCAACTTTTGAACTTTGGGCGACGTTTGGCCATCCTTTTCTTGAGCAATGCCCACAAATTTTTGATAGGATTGAGATCCGGACTCTGGCCGGGCGTGTCAATAACTTTACTGCAATTATGAAGCACACAGGTGCCACTCAGCAACGATTTGTGCTTCGGATCATTGTTTTGGTAGAGCTTGTATTTGAGTTTGCTGCTGTTTCCTGGATCAACGAGGCCAAACTTTTGCGCACTTCTGGTCAATTCATTTTTTTAAATGTCCAAATAGAACTCCTTGGTCATTATTTCATACAAAATTCGCAGCTCTTCAACGCCTTTAGATGATATACAGCCCCACACCATGACTGAGCGCTTGCCAAATTTGACGGTTGGCACAATGTTTTTGGCCTGGAGTGCTGTGTTTGGCTTCCGCAAAACTTTTCTTGGTCCTTCATTATAATACATCATTATCTTTGTCTCGTCACAAAAAATGACATCGTACCAATACTCCGGTGAATTACTAGAATTAAAAATTGTGAAGTTCAAGCTCTTCTCAATGTTGACATCGGGCAGCAATGGCTTCTTCCTTGCTACATATGATAAGTATTTGTGACAAATGAGTATTTTTCTGACTGTCTCATGGAACAAGGTTTTCTTGCAGTTTGTTTTAATGTCATTCGACAATTTTCTGAGGCTTTTTTGAGGTTTAATTTCAATTGTTTTTAAAACTTCTGCACAATCCCGCCGAGAAGGCTTTGATGGTCTGCCGTCAGAGCGGTGTAATTCCAGCCTTTTTACCTTGTCCGGACGGTTAATTATATCATAAATTGTTCTAAGTCTAATTTTATAAGCTTCAGCTAACTCTTTTGCTATTTTTTTACTTCTAAAATTATAATAAACTAATTAAATCAAATTATCTTCAGTGCGTTTGCCAGGCATTGCAAAAATCATCAATAAAAAAAAACGTGACTTAAACCAAAGAAATTTTTAGCAAGAATGAGACCAAGGAAGACTAGAAAAGAGCCCGCGATCGGTCGTTTTCGAATTTTCTGACCCGTTAGTTTTTCTGTGGTATTCTTTCAAGCAGTGTTTGCATTTTGCAAAGAATTTATTGACATCGTCAAAAATGCCGTTTTTTGGTTTTCTTCATTTCTTTTACGATTTGCTTGGAATTTCGTAATTTTTATACCCGTACTCAAAAAAGAGTTAAGGGGTATATTAGATTTGTGGTAAAAGTGGATGTGTGCAACGCAGAGAAGGAAACGTTTCCGACCCCATAAAGTATATATATTCTTGATCAGTATCAATAGCCGAGTCGATATAGCCATGTCCGTCTGTCCGTCCGTCCGTCTGTCCGTCTGTCCGTCTGTCCGTCTTGATGAGCGCCTAGATCTGAGAGACTATAAGAGCTAGAGAAACCAAATTTGGTTTCCAGACTCATGTGATATCACACTGCTACAAGTGTATTTCAAAATTACGCCCCACCCCCTTCCGCCCACACAAAGGACGAAAATCTGTGGCAGGCACATTTTTAAAGATACGATAAAACTAAACACGCAGTATCGTAGAGAATGCCCATATCTACCAGATTGCCGAATCTGAACTAGATCGGATCATAATTATAGCCAGAATGAAGAAATTAATTTTCTGTTGGTTCCCTCTCCTTCTCCAGCGCTGCTGACGCTACTGATTCTCTTTCTCGCTCGCACACTCTGCCGCGTTCAGTGCGCGAGCAACCCCTAGCGGAGGAGATGTAGAATATAAATGGTACATGAAAATCTACTTGTTAGATGTGGAATATACATTGTAGATGTAGATGTAGATAACAGATGTAGCAAAAAAATGTAAAATGTAAAATTTTTTTTAAATTCTAAAAAATCATAAGCTCAAAAATGTATATACTGACTGAGTACGGGTATAAGTAGAGTCGCGTCCCCAGAAGCGACTCACACGTTCCTTCTCGTTTTTTTTCCTACCTATAACTTATACATATATATAATATAATTAATAAACAAAATTTTCCCAAATAATGCCTGTATTTATATTTTTAATGCTAAAGTTGAAATTGTCTGACAAATTTCACTTTGCAAGCAATTAGTTGACATACTGTACATGCATACTTATGCATGCTTGGATACGTATGTATTTCAAATATCATTACTTATTGACATGAATACCCTAATAAAAATTGTTCTTATTTAAAGTCATGTTCTTAATATAATTTTAATTCAAAATAAACTGTTAGTTACTATTCGTACAAGAGTTGTGATTGACTGGTTGAATAATAAATTAACTATATTCTCTGTATTCCTATTTAATATTTTGACTTTTTTCCGCGGCAAACCAGCCGATGACCACGGTACACCAGTGTACCGCGGCACACGCTTTCCGGAACACTGAGCTGGAGAAGAAACAAATTTGTGTAGCGAAGACACTAACTCTTTCTAATATAGATTCTACATACTTTAACGTGTATTATACATTCTGAACATTTATTTTCCATGAAATCTTCTCTGAATAAAAAAACTGCAAAGATTGCCAACAAATTGCCGCCATTTCTCACATCCTAGGGTTACCATAGATTATTTGACTTTGTGACGCCGCCAAAAGTGCAGAGTTGCCACAAGGCTCAACAAAAAAAATTTCCTTATATTAGGGGTATCTATTTTCCGAATTTTCCGAACTATATAACGCTATATTAACGCCACGAAACAAGTTAGTCTACATATTATCCCACAGATCCAAAGAGGCAGAGGCAGAGGCAAACAGCCTAACAACAACTTCGACATTTTTGTTCCCGTACTCAAAAAGAGTTAAGGGTTATATTAGATTTGTGGTAAAAGTGGATGTGTGCAACGCAGAGAAGGAAACGTTTTCGACCTCATAAAGTATATATATTCTTGATCAGCATCAATAGCCGAGTCGATATAGCTCTGTTCGTCTGTACTTCTGTCAGACGGATGTCTGTCCATTTTGATGAGCGCGTAGATCTCAGAGACTATAAGAGCTAGAGCAACCAAATTTTGTTTCTAGGCTCATGTGATATCACACTGCTACAAGTGTATTTAAAAATTTTGCCCCGCCCGCAAAATAAAACTAACAACATGTTAGATGTAGAATATACATTGTAGATGTAGATGTAGTTACCAGATGTAGAAACAAAATTTAATATGTAAAATTTTTTAAAATTCTTCATAAATTATAAGCTCAAAAATGTATATACTGATTGAGTACGGGTATAAAAGTAGAGTCGCGTCCCCAAAAGCGACTCATACGTTCCTTAACGTTTTTTTTTTTAGTTCTGGATTTTGATATGGCATGACAGTACCATTAAGTGGCCTTTGCGACACAAAGCCGAAGCCTGTTACGCGCGGAACCCAGGCAGAAACGCAGCCATCCCCCATTTACCATGCTAGAAATGTGTTCAGAAAACTTTAGAAAGGTAATTCTCTCAAGAGAACCACCGCAGAGTGTGTAAGGAGCAAACAAAGGGCTAGAGCGATGAAATGTCATTACTTTGCATTTCGAGGCATTTAGGTGTAACATATTTGCACAACACCATGACTGAAAGTTATTGAGATCGGATTGTATGCGAGAGTGAAATGAAATGTACTTATACTGGACACAGAGTTTAATATCATCCGCATACATGACTACTCGAGAGTTTGTTAATACTGAAGGCAGGTCATTAATAAAGAGTGTGAATAGTAGGTGTGGCGGGACGATAATTTGTATCGATAGGTATTTTTAGTACATCTAGTATATTGAAATGTATGGATTTTGAGCCCTGGAATGCACGGGCATATATTCGGCCACGATGAATTGCCGCCATATTTTAAGCTGCACTTTTGTATTGTCGCGTGGTTAGAGCAGGAGGAAATACTGCGGTAAGAACATTGTGGGACTTCTAAGAGGTTATGTGACCATCTTTTCTTATCTAGAATAGAACGGGCTTACGAGAAAACCTGCTTCTCTGGGGGTATATCGGCCGTTGAACGCAACTCCGTGGGACCACCGACATGATATTTTATTCGCAGTCCTAGGCAAGTCGACTGCAAGGGCAACTTGCGCTTGAGTACAGGCATTCAGCCACCTCAAGTAAGAGAGTTGTCAGAGACGCGGACAGCGTAGATTGGACGGTCCGCAGACAGCGACCCAGAGTAGACGCAGACAGCGCAGATTAGCTGGAGTACTGGGCAGAATAGAAGGATGCAGCATTCCCCAGACGAAGTAGCCGGTTGAACGAGGAGCAAGCGACTACAACAACAATGAGCGCGGCTTCCCAACCTATAAGTAGTGGTGCAGGAAATAAGCCGCCAAAGCCGAAAGTAACATCGGCGCAGCTGATTCCTAACCCGACCACTGCTGTTACCGTAGTAGCTTCCCAACCTGGAAGTATTACGACCACAGCTGGAGCTTCAGTGCCAGGACAGGCCCAGCCACCTCCAACCCAAGATCTCTTGGAGAAAATTGCAGCGTTGGGGAAGGAGCTGGAAAGGGAAAGAGCCCGAAACAACGTGAACACTGCCACCGATACCGTAATATCGAGCGATGTCGGGGTGAGTAGTGCGGTGTCACTGCTGACGCCATCTTGGAGCGATACGCCATTTTCGATTGGTAGCGATCCGATCCCATATAACGGAGTCGGTGCGAGCAGTGCAGCATGTATGGAACCACCATCATGTAGCGGACCATCGCTGCTTATGAGTAGCAGCTATTTTACGCAATTTTGTGCAGCCAGCACCGCCCAGACAGCGCGTGGAGTTGTGCCGCCGGGTATAGGGATTTATAACGTCATAACGCCGACTTCACTAGCGGGGTCCTACGCCTGGACGGCACCGAATGGAAGCAGTGGAAACTATATGCCACGCAAGCTTCCCGATCTGCCAGTATTTGGAGGTCAGCCAGAAGATTGGCCGATCTTTCTTTGTGCGTTTACGGAAACCACTCACGCGTATAATTGTACTGATCTGGAGAATAACCAACGCTTATTGAAGGCGCTGAAGGATGAAGCTCGTGAGACCGTCAAGTCGCTCCTGATTCATCCAAGTAACGTCAGCGCTGTGATCGAGCAGCTGCGCTTTAGGTATGGCCGACCGGAGCAACTTATACGCAGCCAGATAAATGGAATTCGAGACGTGCCTTCTATTTCGGAGCACAACCTGGCGAGGATTGTACCCTTCGAAACCCGTGTGAGCAATCTCACTGCCTTTTTGCAGTCAGCGAAGGCAGATCAGCATTTGGGGAACCCAACCCTTATGGAAGACCTTGTAGCCAAGCTCCTTACAAGCAAACGAGCGGAGTGGGCAAGGCATGCCGCTTTAATATTACCCTTTCCAACCATTGTCCATTTTAGTTCGTGGTTGACGGAGTACGCCAACGTGTTATGTACTATCATGGATGTCGAAGGGAAAGAACCAAGGCGTCGATTGCTGCATGCAAGCATCGACCAAGACCGAGGGGAGCATCAAGACAGTCGCCTTCAGACGTTGTCCAATATGTGGAGGACAACATGCAGTTAATGGCTGCAGTGATTTCAACGGAGCTTCGCCACCAGACAGGTGGAGGCATGTGAGGAGGCATCGACTATGTTTTTCATGCCTACGAAGTGGTCACATGCAACATGAAAGCAAGCACATGCAAGCTTGCAACAAGCATGGTGAGTGTCAACTAAACGTATGCCGGAAGAGGCAACACCGTCTGCTGCATGGTGTGGACGACCAGCGAAGAAGGTCGCCGCAACGAAGCAGTGACAGAAGCTACAGCGAGCGGAACCAGCAGTTACCTATTTCTAGACGTAGCCTGGACAGAGGGGCGCCGCAGGCAGCGGAAGGGACCGTACAGAGGATTTTAAGTTGTGTCGACGCAGAACGGGATCGCCTGCTGTTCCGTATACTGCCAGTAACGCTGTATGGAGCTGGTCGACGGGTGGATACATACGCACTCCTGGATGAAGGTTCATCTATCACGATGATCGACAACGAACTCAGGAAGGAGCTGAGCGTGCAAGGTGAGCGTCGACATCTTAATATCCAGTGGTTTGGCGGTAGATCCACCAGGGAGCCTTCCAACGTGGTAAGTCTGCAAATCAGTGGAGCAGGCAAGCCAATTCGCCATGCATTGCGAAACGTGTATTCCGTTTCGAACCTGAGCCTGCCGATGAAGACTCTACACCGACGAGATGTCCAGGGCGTGCACAAGGATGCCCGCCTGCCAATGAGGCCCTACAGCAATGTGGTGCCGAAACTGCTCATTGGACTGGATCACGGACACTTGGGACTTCCACTTCGAACGAGACGGTTTGCCAGACAGGGACCATATGCGGCCACAACCGAGCTGGGCTGGGTTGTCTTTGGGCCGACAAGTGGACAATCAACTACGCCGAGGTACTGCTTCCTAGCTGTTTCATTGGATGACACTATTCAGAGAATGGTGGAAGACTATTTTGATGTTGAGAACTTTGGTGTGAAGCTTGCGCCACCAGTCGCCGGCAGCGACGACGTGCGGGCGCAGAAGACATTGGAAGATACCACGGTGAGAGTGGGGCAACGTTACCAGACAGGTTTATTATGGAAGGATGACTACATTGTGCTTCCACAAAGCTATGACATGGCGTACAAGCGGTTGGTCAACGTCGAGAAGAAGATGAAGCGCAACGGGCAGTTCGCGCAGGAATACACTAGTGGCAGTGGCAGGCTATGGTATCTGCCACACTTTGGAGTAGAAAACCCAAACAAGCCGGGAAAGATTAGGCTGCTTTTCAACGCTGCGGCAAGAGTTGGTGGAACATCACTAAATTCGGCACTGGCCAAAGGGCCGCAACATTATAAACCCTAGCCAGCTGTGCTCTTTCATTTTAGAGAAGGTGCCATCGGAGTCTGTGGCGACATCAAGGAGATGTTCCACCAAGTTTTGATCCGACCCGAACATAGATGCTCCCATCGCTTTCTGTGGAGAGATGGAGATGACAGAAGGGATCCTGACATCTACGAGATGATTGTAATGACCTTTGGAGCAGCCTGCTCGCCAAGCGCTGCGCATTACGAGAAAACTGTAAATGCTGAACGGTTTCGTCATTTGGATCCAAGAGCAGTCAAGGCCATCATCGATTGTCATTATGTGGATGACTATGTGGACAGCTTTGCTACCGAGAGCGAACTTGATGACTTCAGGTTCAATGTGAAGTATCATCGAGTTCCAAGCGGGTAGCTGGCCACAGCCTGAATCTGGAACTGAACCAGGTCCGAATGGTAATGACGAAGAGGAGATGCCAAGTGAGTTTTCGCTTGTTGGTGCGAACGACTTTTGTATTTCCTTTCAGAGATTCTCGAGCTACAGTAGTCTACCCAGGACTACAGCCTGGGTCTTAAGGTTCACGCGCTGGTGCCGTGGACAAAGGAGCGAGCTCGAGAAGTACGGCCTTACTGCATCAGAGTGTGAGGCCGCGGAGAACCTGTTGGTCAGACAGGCTCAACGTGAAGCGTTTCCAAACGAGATGCGGTCGGCAGAAGACGGCAAGATGGTTGCCGGCGGGAGCGACACTCGAGGACTGTCACCCTACATAGATGACCTTGGAGTTCTGCGAGCCTATGGCAGAGTTGATGCCGCATTTTGCATGCCGTACAGTGCGAGGAGGCCGATAATTCTGTCACACAGGCACAGTCTCACGGAGATGATTGTGCATAATTTCCACGCCAAGATGAAGCACCAAAATGTGGATGCTACGATTACGGAGATCCGGACGAGGTTCTGGATTACGAAGCTGAGACGTGTACTACAAAGGGTGATCTCAGCATGCAACGTGTGCAAGTTGCATGGGGCGCGGCCGACGCCGCCAATAATAGGACCCCTGCCGGAAGATCGCTTGGAGGCCCATGGTTGGCCGTTCAAGAATACAGGACTGGATTACTTCGGACCACTGTTCGTGAATGTGGCGCGTCACAAGGAGAAGCGATGGGTCGCCCTGTTCACTTGATTGACGACCAGGGCGATTCATCTGGAACTGGCGTATGACCTGTCGACGGATTCCTGTATAATTGCGATACGGAATTTCGTCTGTCATCGAGGGCCAGTACATAGACTACGCAGCGACAACGGCAAGAACTTCGTGGGAGCTGATAGGGAGGCCAGACGATTTGGAGACGTTTTCGAAATGGAGAAAGTCCAGGATGAGCTGTCGAGCAGAGGTATCGAATGGGTATTCAATTGCCCAATGAATCCATCTGAAGGAGGAGTCTGGGAACGCATGGTGCAGTGCGTCAAGAGGGTCCTGCGCCACACATTAAAAGAGGTGGCACCGAGGGATCATGTACTGGTGAGTTTCCTGATCGAGGCGGAGAACATCGTGAATTCGCGTCCGCTTACCCACTTGCCGGTGGAGGCGGACCAGGAAGCCCCGCTAACGCCAAATGATCTGCTCAGAGGAGTAGCTAACTTGCCGGACACGCCTGGCGAAGATGTGGAGCTGCCCAAGGAGTGCGCTACACGCAAGCAGTGGCGTATAGCGCGACTAATGAGGGAACGTTTCTGGAAGAGGTGGGTCTTGGAGTACCTGCCTACACTCGTGCGCCGAAAGAAAAGGTGCCAAAGGACGGAGCCGATTCGCCAGGGTGACGTGGTCTTCATCTGCGATCCAGCCTTGCCGCGAAGAGAGTGGCGTAAGGGCATCGTGGAGGAGGTCTACAAAGGAGTTGATGGAGTCATTAGACGCGCTAGTGTGCGCGTGAACGACTGCGGCCTATCCAGGATTATGATGCGTCCCGTCTTCAAACTGGCGGTTTTGGATTTGAGTGAAGCGGTTCTTCATGGGGTCGGGGATGTCGCGGGACGATAATTTGTATCGATAGGTATTTTTAGTACATCTAGTATATTGAAATGTATGGATTTTGAGCCCTGGAATGAACGGGCATATTTTCGGCCACGATGAATTGCCGCCATATTTTAAGCTGCACTTTTGTATTGTCGCGTGGTTACAGCAGAAGGAAATACTGCGGTAAGAATATTGTGGGACTTCTAAGAGGTTATGTGACCATCTTTTCTTATCTAGAATAAAACGGGCTTACGAGAAAACCTGCCGGGAGCTTTGTCAGGACCTGGTGAAAACACCGGCTTAACTAGTCGATGATCATGAAGCAGTGAGCTTTCATTTAACAAGGGGCTCAAAATGCCGTTCGACCTTGGTAAACTGTATGGATACGGCTGACCAGAGCAGCTTTCAAAAGAATAGGTTGTTGGCAAAAAGATCGGCAATTGCCTGATCATTGCTTATTGACATATTGAAAAATGATAGCGAGAATGGATGTGCGGACGTTCTACGCTTACTATTTACGAAGCTACAAAACTGTTTAGGATCCTGTGAAAATCTTATCCTGCATCGAGATAGGTAAATTGTATAGCATTGAGCATTAGGAACGGAGAAATTTGACCGAGCTATCACATTGCGAGAGGAAAAAGAAGGAGAACCAACTTTTCGAAATTTTGTATAAAGTCTTGATTTTATGTTTTTTATACTGGATAACTCTTTGGTAAACCAAGGAAGCTTCCCAGATCTAACCGGAAAAGAAAGAGGGACACAAGAATCAAAAAGTGTGTCAAGTACATTGTAAGAAATGTTTGTGCCTTTCATAACGTCAGTGCACAAGTATAAAGCGGACCAATCAAAATCCCTAATAAGGTTGTTAAGCTTAATAAACTCGGCTTTACGAAATCAACGGACAATACAGTAGGCCCAATATCGACCAACACTTCGAATTTAGGATGGTAGGAGTCTTTAGGTATAGTGAGCGAAAGGGCTCGGATTAGCAACGCTATGGTCGGATCCGAGACAAAGCACGGATCAAGCAATCGACCCAAGGAATTTTCCAGATGGTTGACTTAGAACAAGGACAGCAAACCGTCAATAAAGTCATGTCGTGGCATGGAAATTAGGGAATTCGACTTGTTTACCGAAGACCGAAGACGGCACTTGGCAAATTGAAATCGCCAAGAACTATCATATGATCATTATCTGATAGCGAGAAAGAAACAGTGTTCAGAGCGTACATAACCGAAGAAAGTGGAAGCAAGTAATAAAAATGGAAAAGCCTGGAAGAATCAGTTTTACGCACAGGAATTTTAGATCCTGTTGAACCTGTACTATGAAATGTAGCGACGTGAAGTTTGAGTCCATTGAGGACCTCCACGTCGAGACGAACGGTCATTTATACAGATTGTGACTGACCTGCCAAAACTTCTGGTCTTCTGTCCGGCGTTAACCGTGTCTTGGTTAATACAAAAACGTGGGACGAAAATGTGAGACTCTCCAGAAAGAGTGTGCTGAGCATACTACACAAGCCTCTAATTGGTAGGTAACTAAAAGAGAGAAAGTTGGTTTTTTGGGTGGGTGGAAGTAGAGCGGGAAGATGAGGGTGGAGATGGAGTAGAAGAGACCACCGTACCCAACAATAATAATTAGTTAGGGACTCAAAATAATTAAGTGTAATTAATTAAATAAATGTATTAGGTTAAGATTTGCATACTTGTCGTCAGTCTCTAATAGAGACAATTAAAAAAATTCAAAAAAAGAGGCAAACTGGGGAGGGACAGAACATTGGTATCAGGTGTGCAATCTTAACCCTACCTCGGCTGTAGGACCGAGGTGGCCAAGGGGGGGGGATTTCACAGGGAAGAGGTAATCCTCGTCCTAACTGAGAAGTCGCTATAACTTTTCGTCAGAGCAGACGGTGTAGTGGACTACGGTTACAAAAAGGCCACCATAGCTCCTTAAAAGTCCCACTCCAAGGGAAACAAAGCAGAGGTCGAATCAGAACTGAAGCTACAGAAGGTCCCGAAGCCAGATAGCAATCTCGCGGTGTCAGACGTACCGTCGGTGGTATCCTCCCTGAGTCCCCACCTAATGAAAAGATTTCATTGGAGGCCAGGAGCCGTCTTGTGAAGATATTTACTGACACCTGCAGTTAGGCGCTCAGAAAAACCTCGGGGATGCTATTCAACAGAACTAAAGCTATAAATGTCAACCTATAAAAAAAACTACGACCAGTAATGAGTCACTAAACCTTCTTCTCAACACTCACTTCTCAGGTAATCTATGTAATCAGATCAAACTACAAAGTGCCTCCTTCTATTGCCTGTATTACTAGCCCAGGTGACGCATTGAGCACCATGCTGCACCTTCCCGTAGACTTCATGGGAAAAATGGTGGCAACACTTTTCGCTCTCCAACTGATAGAAACCCAACTATCCACGTATGGCCCCTTAGGCATCTTGATTTCTGTCGGTTCGCCATTTCTCCTGCCACTGCCAGGCCCTTGTAAACAGTACACTTCGGTTGCTCAGGGCCCTATTCCACACTGATATTTTGGAACTATCCGAAAAAAAAACCAAAGGAACGTGTGAGTCGCTTCTTTGGACTACTTTTATACCCGTACTCATTCAGTATATTAACATGTGAGCTTATGATTTGTGTACAATTTTAAAATATTTTAAATTTTTTGCTACTTATGTATCTACATCTACAATATCGATTGGGGGAATGGGGGAAGCTACTGACAATTTATTTCTTTATTCTGGCTATAATAATGACAATCTATAATAATAATAATATAATTTAATCCAAGACACCGGACGGTGGACCACCACGGTCTAGACAGAGAGAAGGGTCTTAATCGCATGCGGCATCACAGTGGACTTACATATAACCAGCCTTAACCCAACCTAACCTAAATATTACCTTACAGATCCTTTTATCGGTAAGACTGACATCGGATTCTTCTGCCTTCTTAGGCTGGACGGCTTCCTTCTTTCCAAAATGACTAGGCGGGGAAACAACTGTGAATTTTGGTTGGAG